AATAGTACATGTTTTATAGGGTCATTGTATGATTAAACATGTTATTATTTATAGAGTGCTTAGAATAGTGCCTGACACATAGTGCTATATGTATTTAGTAAATAAATAAAATCAGAAATTGAGGGGATAAAAAAGAATTAATTTGGTCACAATAAAGGCTTCTTTCTTTCCTTTCCAAATGCTTAAAAACAACACTTAAAAAATTTATTTTGAAAAAAATAGAATCAGTTTGTTTTGGCTTTCATACTGCAAAACAGGGGTTTGTTACATAGGTAAACTTGTGTCATGGGGGTTTGTTGCATATATTATTTTATCACCCAGGTGTTTAGCCAAGTACCTATTAGCTATTTTTCCGGATCTTTTCCCTCCTCCCATTGTCCACCTTCTGATAGGCTCCAATGTGTGTTGTTTCCCTCTATGTGTCCATGTGTTCTCATCATTTAGCTCCCACTTGTAAGTGAGAACATGTGATATTTGGTTTTCTGTTCCTGCATCTGTTTGCTAAGGGTAATGGCCTCTGGCTCCATCCATACCCTGCAAATGATCTTGTTCTTCTTTTATGGTTGCATAGTATTCCATAGTGTATATGTACCACATTTTCTTTATCTAGTCTATCATTTATGGGACTTTAGGTTGATGCCATGTCTTTGTTATTGCACCATAATGAACATTCACGTGCATGTGTCTTTATAATAGAGCAATTTATAGTCCTTTGGGTATATATCCAGTAACGGCATTGCTGGGTCAAATGGTAGTTCTGTCTTTAGGTCTTTGAGGAGTTGCCACACTGTCTCCAACAATGGTTTAACTAATTTACACTCCCACCAACAATGGATAAGTGTTCCTATTTCTCTACAACCTAGCCAGCATCTGTTATTTTTTGACTTTTTGATACTAGCCATTCTGACTGGTGTGATCATGATAGTATTGTGGTTTTGATTTGCATTTCTCTAATGGTCAGTGATATTAAGCTTTTTTTTCATATGATTGTTGGCTGCATGTATGTCTTCTTTTGAAAAGTGTCTGTTTATGTCCTTTGCCCACTTTTTATTTTTATTTTTGTGAATTTGTTTAAGTTCCTTAAAGATGCTGGATATTAGACCTTTGTCAGAAGCAGAGTTTGCAAACATTTTCTCCCATTCTTTAGGTTGTCTGTATACTCGGTTGATGGTTTCTTTTGCCGTGCGGAAACTCTTTAGTTTAGTTAGTTCCCATTTGTCAATTTTTGCTTTTGTTACAATTGCTTTTTTGGCATCTTCATCATGACATCTTTGCCCATGCCTACGTCCTGAATGATATGGTCAAGATGGTTTTCCAAGGTTTTTATAGTTTTGGGTTGTATATTTAAGTCTTTAATCCATCTCGAGTTAACTTTTGTATATGGTCAAAGGAAGGGGTTCAATTTCAATCTTCTGCATATGGCTAACCTGTTATCCCAGCACTATTTATTGAATAGGGAATCCTTTCCCCATTGCTTGTTTTTTTGTTTTTTGTTTTTTCCAGGTTTGTCAAAAATCAGATAGTTGTAGGTGTGCAGTCTTAAATTCTGGGTTATCTGTTCTGTTCCATTGGTCTATGTGTCTGTTTTGGTACCAGTTCCACGTATTTTGGTTACTGTAGCTCTGTAGTATAGTTGGATGTCGGGTAGCATGATGCCTCCAGCTTTGTTCTTTTTGCTTAGAATTGCCTTGGCTATTTTTTTGCCTGAGTTCTTTTTCGGTTCCATATGAATTTTTTAAAAACAGGTTTTTTTAAAAAATTTTATTTTGTTTTTAATTTTTTTATTATTATACTTTAAGTTCTAGGGTACATGTGCATAATGTGCAGGTTTGTTACATATGTATACTTGTGCCATGTTGCTGTGCTGCACCCATCAACTCGTCAGCACCCATCAACTCGTCATTTACATCAGGTATAACTCTCAATGCAATCCCTCCCCCCCACCCCATAATAGGCCCCCAGTGTGTGATGTTCCCCTTCCCAAGTCCAAGTCATCTCATTGTTCAGTTCCCACCTATGAGTGAGAACATGCGGTGTTTGGTTTTCTGTTCTTGCAATAGTTTGCTGAGAATGATGGTTTCCAGCTGCATCCATGTCCCTACAAAGGACACAAACACATCCTTTTTTATGGCTGCATAGTATTCCATGGTGTATATGTGCCACATTTTCTTAATCCAGTCTGTCACTGATGGACATTTGGGTTGATTCCAAGTCTTTGCTATTGTGAATAGTGCCGCAATGAACATACATGTGCATGTGTCTTTATAGCAGCATGATTTATAATCCTTTGGGTATATACCCAGTAATGGGGTGGCTGGGTCAAATGGTACTTCTAGTTCTAGATCCTTGAGGAATCGCCATGCTGTTTTCCATAATGGTTGAACTAGTTTACAATCCCATCAACAGTGTAAAAGTGTTCCTATTTCTACACATCCTCTCCAGTACCTGTTGTTTCCTGCCTTTTTAATGATTACCATTCTAACTGGTGTGAGATGGTATCTCATTGTGGTTTTGAAATGCATTTTGTCTCAAAAAAACAGTTCTTTTCTAATTCTGTGAATAATCTCAATGGTAGTTTAATAGTAATAGCATTGAATCTATAAATTGCTTTTGGGCAGTATGGTCATTTTAACAATATTGATTCTTTCTCTCCATGAGAAAGGAATGTTTTTCCTTTTATTTGTGTCATCTCTGATTTCTTGGAGCAGTGGTTTGTAGTTCTCCTTGGAAAGATCTTTTACCTCCCTAGTTAGCTGTATTCCTAAGTAGAAATTATGAATGGCAGTTTGTTCCTGATTTGGCTTTCAGCTTGACTGTGGTTGGTGTATAGGAATGTTAGTTATTTTTGCATATTGATTTTGTATCCTGAGACTTTGCTGAAGTTGTTTATCAGCTTAAGAAGCTTTTGGGCTGGGACTATGGGGTTTTCTAGACATAAAATCATGTTGTTGGCAAACAGGGATAGTTTGACTTCCTCTTTTCCTATTTGGATGCCCTTTATTTCTTTCTCTTGCCTGATTGTCCTGGCCAAGGCTTCCAATACTATGTTGAACAGGAGTGGTGAAAGAGGGTATCCTTGTCTTGCACTGGTTTTCAATAGGAATACTTCCAGCTTTTGCCCATTTAGTATGATGTTGACTGTGGGTTTGTCACATATGGCTCTTATCATTTTGAGCTATGTTCCTTCAATACCTAGTTTATTGAGAGTTTTTACCATGAATGGACTTTGAATTTTATTGAAAGCATTTTCTGTATCTATTGAGATAATTGTGTAGTTTTTGTCTTTATTTCTGTTATGGGATGAATCACATTTATTGATTTGCATATCTTGATCCATTCTTGCATTCCAGGGATAAAGCCTACTTGGTCATGGTGGATAAGCTTTTTGATGGGTTGCTGGATTTAGTTTGCCTGTATTTTGTTGAGCATTTTTGCGTTGATATTCATCAAGGATATTGGCCTGAAGTTTTCTTCTTTTGTTGTTGTATCTCTCCAGGTTTTGGTATCAGGATGATGCTGGCCCCATAGAATGAGTTAGGGAGGAGTGCCTCCTCCTCAATTCTTTGGAATATTTTCAGTAAGAATGCTACCAGCTTTTCTTTGTACATCTGGTAAATTCAGCTATGAATCCATCTGTTTCTGGGCTGTTTTTTTTTTTTTTTTTTTTTGGTAGGTAGGCTATTTATTAATGCCTCAATTTCAGAGTTCATCATTTGTCTGTTCAGGGATTCAATTTCTTCCTAGTTAAGTCTTGAGAGGGTGTATTTGTCAACAAATTTGTCTATTTTGTGTAGATTGTCTAATTTATGTGCATGGAGGTTTTCATAATATTGTATTTATGTGGGGTCAGTGGTAACATCCCTCTGTTGTTTCTGACTAATTCTATTTTCAGTTTATACTCAGACTAATATAAATAAAGGAAAAGACAGCACCTAATACTATAAAGCAAAATTATCTAGAATTATCCAATTTGCAAATTTTTCTGTGGGGCTAGCTCATGCTCTTCTAGAAGTCAGTGATGATTACATTGCCTGCCCCTGTAAATTGGGCAAAAACTTTTATAAATGTTCCTGGTATAACTGGTGCTTTTCTTTTCTTTTTCTTTTTTCTTTTTTCTTTTTCCTTTTTCTTTTCTTTTTTCTTTTTGTTTTTTTTCTTTTTGAGACGGAGTCTCATTCTGTCACTCAGGCTGGAGTGCAGTGACGTGATCTCAGTTCACTGCAACCTCCACCTCCCGGGTCCAAGTGATTCTCCTGCCTCAGCTTCCTGAATAGGTGGGATTACAGGCACCTGCCTCCACGCTGGGCTAATTTTTGCATTTTTAGTAGTGATAAGGTTTCACCATGTTGCCCAGGCTGGTCTCGAACTTCTGACCTCAGATGATCCACCCGCCTCGGCCTCCCCAAGTGCTAGGATTATAGGTGTGAGCCACCGCGCCAGGCTAGCTGGTGCTTTTCTATGCATTTAAAAATAGATTATTTCAGTGAAACTCTATTTTCCTGATTTCTACCTTCAAGCCTACGAACCCCACACACCTTAACTAGTAGTACCCATTAATCCCACCAGTTACAGCGTCTTCCAGGTAGCTTTCTCCTAAATTGTTGGGTTAGGCCCTCACTTCCAGCATCTAAGCACTCTAAATGATCACAATGTTGTCTTCGCCACTAGGCTCTGAGCATTTACCTGGTTCACTGATTAGCACAGAGCTTTGAAATTCAGGATTCTGTATTTAGCACACAGCCCTAGACTTCTGCTATGCAGTAAGTATTTATTAAATTTTATAATTCATCCAACTGTTAAAAATAAGAAGATCTATCACTAATACTTCAAAATATTTGAGCTTACCCAGAAAGTAAGTTCCCAGAAATGAAATTTAGCTTTGTTTCCACAATCAGATTTGTGATTCAGGAATAGGCCAGAGAAGTTTGATTGATATTATGCATAAAAACATAAAAAGAGAATCAAAGGGTAAAGAAGATTTCTCTATGGCTCTGTCTTACCTTTTCCATATCACCCAGGCCCTCCGTGTCCAGAAGGACCAGGGAGTGGTTTGACTTAGAGGGATGGGGCACACACCACATCCAGATGCCTTTGGTTTCAGACTTCACTGTGCAGCCCAGAGGGAAGCCTTCAAGGGAAGAGGAGAAACAACATATAGTGACAGCAGAATCCAGGCAGACAAGGCCTAAACCGGTTAAATGTATAGGAATGTAAGTTTCCGGCAGGGGAAATGGGTTGCTTCCATTTCAGCAAAGAAATCAATCAAATCTTTATTTATATAAATGACTTTCTCAGAAGGTACTTGGGTCCCCTATTCACTTCATATCTAAGCATAGGCTCAAATAAGTTATATTACAGAATTAATGTAAACTCTATTAACCTGTTACTATGGTCTGAACGTTAATCCCTCCAGTCCCCCATTCATACGTTGGAACTTCAGTGAAGTCCGAAACCAAACCCCAAGGTGATGATATTAGAAGTCAGAAGTGGGATGGGTGCAATGGCTCACACCTGTAATCCCAACAATTTGGGAGTTCGAGGCAGATAAATCACGAGGTCAGGAGATAGAGACCATCCTGGCCAACATGGTGAAAGTTTGTCTCTACTAAAATACAGAAAATTAGCCGGACATGGTGGTACGCGCGTGTAGTCCCAGCTACTTGGGAGGCTGAGGCCAGGGAATCACTTGAACCCAGGAAGCGGAGAGATTGCAGTGAGCCGAGATTGCATCACTGCACTCCAGCCTGGCAACAGAGTGAGACTCCATCTCAAAATAAAAAAGAAGTCAGAAGTGATTAAGTCATGAAAGGTCATGTCTTCAGTAGCAAAGTTAATGCCCTTATAAAAGGCCTTGAGGGATGAGTTCATGTCCTTTGCAGGGACACGGATGAAGCTGGAAACCATCATTCTCAGCAAACTAACACAGGAACAGAAAACCAAACACCACATGTTCTCACTCATAAGTGGGGGTCAAACAATGGGAACACATGGACACAGGGAGGGGAACATCACACGCCGGGGCCTGTTGGGGGATGGGGGCTAGGGGAGGGATAGCATTAGAAGAAATGCCTAATGTAGATGACAGGTTGATGGGTGCAGCAAACCACCATGGCACCTGTATACCTATGTAACAAACCTGCACATTCTGCACATATATCCCCGGACTTAAAGTGTGTGTGTGTGTGTGTGTGTGTGTGTGTGTATATATATATATATAAAGACCTTGAGAGAATTTGATTGTTCCTTCTGCCATTTGGGGACAATGGGAAACCCCCTCTGTGAGTAACAAGCCCTCACTAGACATTGAATCACCTTGTGCCTTAATCTTGGACTTCCCAACCTCCAGATCTGTGAGAAATTAGTTTTTATTATTTATAAATTACCCTGTGTAATGTATTTTGTCCTAGTGGCAGACACAGACTAAGACACCTGTGTATTTTTATGCAACGCTCAAGAGGAAGAAAAAAGCATGCATTCATAAGTAAAATTAGGGAGAGGGCTGAGACAAAGGTCCAAGTGCTGGGCTCATCTTCATGTGGTGACTCTTTTTCCTTATGCAGGTGCCACCTGAACAGAAGGATATCCAAATGGAGGAGATTCTGACATGGAAAGGACAGTATAAAGCATCCACTCTAGTATGGTCTGTTGAAATGGTTTCCAGGAGTGGAGTAGTGAGAATAAAATCTTGAAATTTAGTTGAGGAATCTGTGATTTGAACTCCTGAGTATGTAGCCAAGTAGACCAGATTTGTTAGTAATGGAACCCACTGAAGTGTTTCAGATGGATGATGACAAAAATCAGCAAAATATTTAAGAAAATCCATGAGGTATTAGAATACTGCAGGAATTAAAAAGTTATACCTCGGACTAGTAAAAGAGTTCTAGAATTTTAAAGGCTGAAAGTGTGAAAGTTATCAGCATCAAAATGCCAAACTTGAATGCAATGAAGTCAGCAGACCATGAAGGAAAAGCTCTCGTGCACACTTTCCTGTGATGGGAACTGCCACTGAAGATGTTGCCAATCCACAACCTCGCAACAAAGGCTAATATTCTGAGGACATCTTTCCAGTAATAGCCAGTCTTAACTGTAAACTTCAAGTGGTCTAACTTGCAATCAGAGTCCCTGCAATCAGGGTCCCTTCTGTGAAGACTCTCTCTTAGCAACAGCCAGTACACATATTAAGTCCTGTGAGTAAGCTCTTGTAAACAAATAAACTTTTGTTTCAAAACACCCTGTGTGTACTTCTCCTTTTTATCTTTAAAGTTCCCACTGTCTCAACCAACCTATGATTTATTATAGTGTGCATACCTGAATTGGTATGCATATGGTCCCCTGCTCATTCTTAAATAAACTCATTTCTTTGGAGAGCTACTTTCTCTGTTGTTACTTTAGCTTGACATAATCTGGCATCAGAAGTGGGATCTAAAGTGAGCTCATCTTGGAATGATCAGCAGCCCCTGAAACCATGAGTGGTATTCCCTTGTTGAGCCCTTTGATCTGTTCGTTTCCACATCTGACCTTTTGTCCTGTGTTGAGTCTCCCCTTGGGTTAAAATCCCTTCTTTTTGTCTGGTTCAGGATCTTATTTGGATAAGGTCACCTCAATAAAAAGCCTTGAATCCCTCCTTAGCCTAAAAACGACTTTGCCTTTTCTGGCAAGCCCTTTATGAGATAAGAACATTGTCCTTCTGGTGAGTCCTCTTTTTTTTTTTTTTTAACTTCTCCATGCCTGGTTTAATATTTTGTTTGGTCTGCCTGCCTGATTTAAAATTTTGGTGAATTGAGTCTTTTCTTACTTCTGAACATCTGCCAAATGCAAAAATAAATGTACCAAACAGTAGGCATGGATTGACCAATTTAAACCAGTTAAGGCAGTGCCATCATTAATGAGTGACTCCAATCTCTGAAGATGAAGTATTTTGTGTGAAGGTAAACAGGCCATGGATAGGCAAGATTACTATTAGAGCATCTGCCACACTTAAGAAAATTTCTATTCAACAGGGAAAATGTGGTCATGGGTTGGACAACAAAGGCAATGATTGTCCGCCAACTAAAACACATACCCTGGACCGGGTATATTATAAAACAAAACACCAGTCCAAACTTCTGACATTCCCAACCAGATTCATAGGATTTTATTTTTTTCTTTTCAGAGATTAATGAGAAACAAAATAAGACACCCAAATTTAAAGGCATGCCAGAATAATCTTTCTTCTGGGACTCTAGCCAGCTATATTTATGGTCCATCTCATGCACACTTCTCAATTGATGGGGAAATTACACCAAAAGTAATTTAGAATTACAATGGCCATTATGTAGGACATTCCAGATGAACTTTCAAGAACTGCATTTTAAGAAGAGAATTTAAAATTGGAAGGGGTCGGTCTCTGCGGAGCCAGGAGGGGAAGCGATGGCTGGGCCCGGGTGGATCTCCAAGGTCTGTCTGCTGCTGGGGGTATTCCACAACCCAAAACAGGTGACTAGAGGTTTTACTGATGTTGTTCAGCCAGTGACTTTAATTCCAGGAGATGGTATTGCCCCAGAAATTTCAGCTCCAGTTATGAAGATTTTTGATACTGCCTAAGCACCTATTCAGTGGGAGGAGTGGAACGTCACTGCCATTCAAGGACCTGGAGGAAAGTGGACGATCCCTTCGGAGGCTAAAGAGTCCATGGATAAGAACAAGATGGGCTTGAAAGGCCCTTTGAAGACCCCAATAGCAGCCGGTCACCCATCTATGAATTTGCCGCTGCGCAAAACATTTGAGCTTTACACAAATGTCCGACCATGTGTCTCTATCGAAGGCTATAAAACCCCTTACACCGATGTAAATATTGTGACCATTCGAGAAAACACAGAAAGAGAATACAGTGGAATTGAGCATGTGATCATTGATGGAGTTGTGCAGAGTATCAAGCTCATCACCGAGGGGGCGAGCAAGCCCATTGCTGAGTTTGCCTTTGAGTATGCCCGGAACAACCGCAGGAACAACGTCACGGCAGTGCACAAAGCCAACATCATGCGGATGTTAGATGGGCTTTTTCTACAAAAATGCAGGGAAGTTGCAGAAAACTGTAAAGATATTAAATTTAATGAGATGTACCTTGATACAGTATGTTTGAATATGGTACAATATCCTTCCCAATTTGATGTTCTTGTTATGCCAAATTTGTATGGAGACATCCTTAGTGACCTGTGTGCAGGATTGATTGGAGGTCTTGGTGTGACACCAAGTGGCAACAGTGGAGCCAATGGGGTTGCAATTTTTGAGTCGATTCATGGGACGACTCTAGACATTGCAGGCAAGGACATGGCGAATCCCACAGGCCTCCTGCTCGGTGCCGTGATGATGTTGCGCCACATGGGACTTTTTGACCATGCTGCAAGAATTGAGGCCGCGTGTTTTGCTACGATTAAGGATGGAAAGAGCTTGACAAAAGATTTGGGAGGCAATGCAAAATGCTCAGACTTCACAGAGGAAATCTGTCGCCGAGTAAAAGATTTAGATTAACGCTTCTACAACTGGTATTTGCATCAGTCACTCTAAATGGACCCCACATAAACCTCTGTTTAGAATACCTACCTATGTATGCTTTGGTTTACTTGTTTCTTGACAATACATTTTTAGATCTGGCCTTTTCTTAACAAAATCTGTGCAAAAGATGCAGGTGGATGTCCCTAGGTCTGTTTTCAAAGAACTTTCTCCAAGTGCTTATTTTGTTTATTAAGTGTCTACCTGGTAAATGTTTTTTTTTGTAAACTCTGAGTGGACTGTATCATTTGCTATTCTAAACCATCTTACACTTAAGTTAAAATAGTTTCTCTTCAGCTGTAAATATCAGGACACAGAATTAACAAGAGAAAATGTCAAATTTTTAAAGAAAAACCTTGTTTTCTTTGGTTTTTGAAAAACATAATGGAAATAAAACAGGATATTGATATAATGGCACAAAATGACACTCTTATAAAACTAAATGGGCACAAGAGAAATTTCCTGGGAAAGTTCACATCAAAAAGAGTGAATGTGGTATATTTCTAAATGAAATGGAAAATAGAGACAGATTTGTCCTTCACAGAAATTACTGAGTATGAATAAAAACTTCACATCCAAGAAATATGTAATGAAAGAGATAATTTTTATTAATAAGACAAAGGTAACATATTGGATACAAAGACACAAAAAATGTATTGTGCATTCAGTTATTTTGCGGTCTTGAGATTTAATATTCTTTTCAAGAGCTTTTAATGAAGCAGAGAGCTAGTACTTCATTTTCATTGGAGGCATTTTCAGCATCATGAGTTGTCAGAGCCTCTGAGCCCCTAATTTTAAGCCAGAAGGGCTGAGTGTATTGTAAACTTATTCTTTCATGTTGCTGTCTGGGAATGGACCACACTACAGCTAGTAGTTCTGGGGGCGATACTGCGGAAAGGCCTGAACACATGTTATTTTGGCTGCAATTGAGGAACTCGGGATGCTGACTATTAAGTTTGTATTTCAGTAACTTCCCCTTCTCCTATCCCAAAGCACCAGTTACTACCCTCTGCCTCAGCATTACCAGTATAAGATGACATTCCAAAGATTGCAGGCAACTCAGCCTGAGTTAATTCAAAATATTGTGCCATGCCGGGGCTTGAGCTTGGGCTTAGGCTTGGGCTCAGCTTTTGACCCTCAGGCATCTCCTTTCCCTTCCTGCCTTCCTCTCCCTTATCTTCCACTGCAGCATGATTTTCTTAATCTTCATACACTCACTATTTTCATGAACAATTACCCTCTGGCCCCACAACCAAAGACAACTCATGGCCTCCCTTGGCCCTTGTATAACATTGCGTGGTGGCTCACACCTGTAATCCCCAGCATTGTGGGAGGCTGAGGCGGGCGGATCACCTGAGTTGGGGAGTTCAAGAGGAGCCTGACCAACATGGAGAAACTCCGTCTCTACTAAAAACACACACAAAAAAATTAGCCGGGTGTGGTGGCGGGCTCCTGTATTCCCAGGCAGGAGAATCGCTTGAACCCGGGAGGCGGAGGTTGCGGTGAGCCGAGGTCGCGCCATTGCATTCCAGCCTGGGCAACAAGAGCGAAACTCAGCCTCAAGTTTAAAAAATAATAAAAGAAAACAAACTGTTGTGGAAACTGCAGTTTACCCCAAATTTAGTCCACAGCCTCCACAGAATTAACAGTTAAAGGCAAATGAAAAATCTCAAAGGTTAGCCATTTGAGCAAGTAACCTTAACTTATTCTATTTTTTCAGAAAAATAGTTTGGATTTAGCTGTCCTTTGTGGAAAACCCAGTGATCTTTGCTTGTGTGTGTATTTATGTTTGCATGTTTTGCGTTTGTAATAATTTTCTTCCAAGATATGTGAAAGAACTCTATTTAATTGGCTTACAAGATATGTGAAAGGGCTCTATTTAATTGGCTTAAAGGGTCAACAAAGCAAATGTAAAAGAGTCTCTTGACTATTCTTGCTGTACTTGTATAATCAGGCTTTGTTTGATGAGGTTAAATTTATTCTGCAAACAAAGAAGCCTTATCTTGGTAAAAACTGGAATGACTAGACGAGAAAATTTATGATTAAGAAAGGAAAACTATACTTCATCTGTTATTAAATTGCAGCCCTATGCATTGCTTTTGAGTTTATTATTATTTACCTACAACCTGGACTAAATTTTCAATTCTTCTAGGTTTGTCCAACCCAATTTTCTGGTCTGGAATTGCTAAAATAAAAATCTGCTCTGTTCCTGAAGCTCTACACACTAAAGCTACACAACTCAATGTAAATTTCAAGGGATGAGTCTCATGTCTCATGTTTAGACCACACAGAAAGTTCACCAAACCACTCCATGCCATACCCAAAGACATTTAGTGTGTAAACCAGTATGAGAAGTTGATGATTTCATGCCATGGACAGCTTTTTCTAAGAATGATAGAACAATACTTACAAAAATGAGACTATTATCCTTCTTAAATTTTCTTTGCTTGTGCCTTCTTTTTCATTTGACAGGATAATGCCATAGTTATAATTTCATAATCATCAGCTTCTGAGGGCACTTGATGGAATGTCGGATCTGTCATGCCAATCCCAAATCTTTACATGATCTAAGAGATGCTTTCTTCCATGTAGTGAATAACTTTGGCAATATTCTTAACACAACTTTTTGTTCAAATTTTACCAGTGATCCCTTTTTACAGAGTTAGCACTCTCGGCTTTAATTTAACCAAGTCATGAGATACTAAATAATAGAATCACTAACCAAACTATGTAAAAGACTCAATACCTATACCAAATCTTACCCAGTCCCACATGGTCTTTTAATTTGTTTAATTGAGCTCTTGGTTCAGAACCATCATCCAAAATGAATTTGTTATGCTCCTGTTGGTTTTGCTTTGCATTATTTTCTTTAAGCTTTGCACCTGTTACCTGTCTGACTTCTGCAGAAATGGCACTCCTGAGATAATAATGCTGGCTCAGCACTTAAAGGATATGTGGAAAATGTGGAATTGAAAAAATTGACTTCATAATGAATTCCAGGGAGAATTAGCCTGAAACCCACTCCTTCCAAACATCCTTGTTGCTCAAATGTGGCTAAAAGTGTTTTGAAACTGACTCCCAGTCACCAATCACTTGGGACCGACTTGGGAACAAACCAACCAAATCAAGTGCATCCAAGCACTGAGGAACACATAATACATAACTACAGGATGATTGATCAGAGATGCTTTCAGAGAAAGATCTTGATCAAAGGGGGAACTGCAAAAGTTGTCAGAAGCAAAATGGAGTCACTTATGCCAAACCCTAACAAGATGGAGTCAGGAGTTCATGAAGGAAGGGCTTTCATGTATACTTTCTTGTGGTGGAAATTGGCATTAGGACATTGCCAAACTACAACCTTGCAACAAAGGCTACTTCTGTACTTCCAGTAATAGCCAGTCCTAACCACAATCTTGCAAGTGGCCTTACTTGCTGCCATCAGGGTCCCTGCAGTCAGGGTTCTCTCCATAAAACTCTCTCAAGCAGCAGCCAATGCACATGTCCTCACCTGCAATATGAACCTGTAAACCAGTGAACTTTCATTTTACATCAACTGGCATATATGTCTCCTTTTTGCCTTTAAAAGTTTCTCACTGCCTTAACATTTTCAGATGAACTTATGATTTGTTTTTTTGTTTTGTTTTGTTTTGTTTTTTTGAGACGGAGTCTCGCTCTGTCGCCCAGGCTGGAGTGCAGTGGCTGGATCTCGGCTCACTGCAAGCTCCGCCTCCCGGGTTCACGCCATTCTCCTGCCTCAGCCTCCCGAGTAGCTGGGACTACAGGCACCTGCCACCTCGCCCGGCTAGTTTTTTGTATTTTTTTAGTAGAGACAGGGTTTCACCCTGTTAGCCAGGATGGTCTTGATCTCCTGACCTCGTGATCCACCCGTCTTGGCCTCCCAAAGTGCTGGGATTACAGGCTTGAGCCACCGCGCCTGGCCTATGATTTGTTATATGCATTTCCAGAATTTACAAATCCCCTACTTATTCCTGAATATATTCATTTCTTTGGAGAGTGACTATCTGTTGTTATTTTGAGTTGACAGAGGAACTCAAGATATGGTAGTCAAATCATTCATTTCCTGAATGATGAAAATGAAGAGTAGAAATAGTAACTGATTGGCTTAGTTAGAAGGACATACAAACTACACTTTAACATCAGGCTTCTGACTGGTAACTTGGTGCTTTATAAGCCACACTGAGTCCCTGACACTATAGCTTAATGTAAAAGAGATAAATTATAACCAATAGTGACCTTAATTACAAAAATTAGAGAAATTAGAATATCCAATATGTATTGAAACATTCATTTGATCTTAAAGTTCTGTGGAAATTTGCTATTACTACATAAATATTTTAGTAAATATTGAATAATGCATTATTATTTAATTTTTTATTAATACCTTATTTATATATGAAATGTGTAGATAAAGGCAAAGTGGGGAGAGTCAGTTGACTCCAATCCTCCGGAGTGAATGCAAAGAGTTCGCCGATGAATTCAAAGTTAGCTATCAATATTTATCCCCAACACTAACTTTCTTTCATCCCATCTTCAAACTGGATACTGACTGTGTAACTGGACAGATGGGGCTCATCCATGCTTTGCTGGTGCCACTCACCTTTGTTCTTCCCAGCCAGCTTGTTCATCAGGTAGGATTTGCCTGTGCGGTAGAGGCCCACAATTGCCACCACTGCTACAGGCTGTGTAATGGCAGAGAGGATCTCCAGAGCTTCTGAATTCACCACCAGATGCCCTTCAGTGTTTTCAATGAGGCATACTGGGCCTGGCATGTGGATCGCTGATGCCATGTTGGGACCGTTCCTTTGTCTGCAAGGAAAAAATGAAGCAGAAAGCAATGTCTGGTCAGTCAATTGAGCTGAATTCTACAATAGGGCATAAATTTTTGTTTATTATTCTTGAACATTGTTTCTTGTGCATTTCTAAGAAGACCTGTGGCCCTTTAAGGCTGTCCTATGGACTGGGCCACTGACTGCCTTTTAAAATAATTTAATTTTGAAACAGACTTATAGAAAAGATGCACGATAGGTATGAAGAGTGCCCATATACCATTTCCCTGGCTTCCCCTAATGTTAATATTTTACATAACCATAGAGCAATTACTGAAACCAGGATTTTAACATTGATACAATGATAACTAATTTACACTCCTTATTGACATTTCACCAGTTTCCCACTAATGTCCTTCTGCTTCACGATCCAATCCAGGATCCCTCATTGCATTTAGTCATTATGTTTCTGTAGTTTTCTTGCATTTTTGATAGTTCCTTATTCTTTTTTTGTCTTTCATGTCTTTGACATTTTAGAATAGTACTGGCCTTTGATTTTGAGGAATATCTTTCACTTTGGAGTTTTCTGATGTTTCCTCGTTGATTGAAGTTAGGCATTTTTTTTTGCAAATGTCACAGAAGTGATGTTCTGCCATTTTCAGTGTCTTGTATTAAGGGATTCATGATGTTGACATGACTTTTTCTGGTGCTGCGACCTTAACTTTGATTACTTGGTTAAAGTTCTTGCTGCCAGATTTCAGATTTCTCCATGGTAAAGAGTTATGTGCCACTTTGTCACTAAAAAGTTTCCATTTTGAGAAACAGTTTGGAGACTATGCAAATACAATCTCATCATACTTTTTTGTTGTTGTTGTTGTTTTCTCAGTTTTCTTAGTTTTTATTGATGATTCTTTTTGTGGTGTTTGACAAAATAGATTTTCTATTATAGTCATTCTTTCTATGTTTATTAACTGGAGTTCTACCATAAGCAAGGGCTGTTCCTTCTTTATTTATTTTGTTTGCTCATTTAATCATTTACTTGTATCAATGCAGACTCAGAGATATTAGTTTTACTCTGAGGGTTTCAATACTTTACAATCAATATTTATTTTGTTACTTAACTTGTCCTAGATTTTGTCATTGAGAGCTTCTTCAAGCTGGATCCATTTTTTTTTCTTTTTCTTTTTCACATGCTTCCATCATATTTTCAGTGCTTCTTTTCTTTTTGGCTTCACAACATATTCTAGAAAACACATCTGCATTTTTCTTGCTTTATCCCTAGAAACCACCATTTCTCCCAGTATCTTTGGTTTCTTTCACTGGATAATGGTATTTTGACACCAAGATATCTCTCTAGGTGTGTTAATTATTTCTAGACCCACTCAGGGGCAAATGTGAGAAATATATGTATGTATACTAGCACACATCTATATTTATTTTTATTTGTACATTTCTGTAATAAAGCTTGAGATTCTGTTGATATTTCCAGTTCCAATCCAACACATCTGAGCTCATTCAAGCTTTTGACTTTCCTTTTTAAACTATTTTCTCTAAATAAGCTAGACTTTGGTCTCCTAATACGTAATACACTTGTTTCCTTGCTCAATCCTAGTATATTCATATAGTAGTATCAAAATTGATAATAAGTCTGTGGAAAAATAAATTTACTTACTACAGAAAATTATTAGTGTACAGTTCTTTTGGTGTTTAGCCTTATATACACACTCAAAACATTGCACTTCGAAGTTGCTTAGGTTAGTTTTTTCCTTCTCCACCTTCTTCAGTATGGTTAAATTATTCATTTGTAAAACACTTAGTTACATTTGTTACTGTTTCTGTTTCACTTTGGCCTCCCTCACATCTTGGTCTCTTGGTTGATTTTAAGTATGATTTATTTTTTGAGTTTGTGAAACAATATGGTTCTTAAATTCAGAGCTTTTCAAAAAGTTACAGTCAGAGAAGTGTCACTTTTCCTTCCTCTTACCACTCCACTCCCATTGCACTGGTCTTCTATTCTTTCTACCACATTCCAACCCATCCTCCATAGATACCAAATCTTGTTAGTTTCTGGTTTACCCTTCTTGGATTTTCTTTTCACAAATGAGAATGTACATATTTTCTTTTTCACATTTTCTAACACGAAGATCATATCATATAGAAATTTGGAAATCCCTCCACATCTGTTCATAGAAAGCTTTTAAAATCCTTTTAACATGTATCTACTCCTTTATGTGGATTATATCCCAGTTTATTCAATCACTCTTCAATGTATGGGCATTTAGATTGTCTCAAATATTTTGCAATTACAAACAATGCTGCAATGAATAACTCTGCTAACTTTATGCATGTGTATTTTTATATTGTTACAGGAGTAATTTCAGGATAGATTCCTACCAACAGGATTGCTTGGTCAAAAGATGAGAGTATATCATTTTGTAGATATTGCCAAGTTCCTCTACAGAAGGTTGTACAAGGTTGCATTCCCACCAGCTCATCTTGTATGTCATTTTCCAGAAAATGGAATTTTTCCGAGGTGCCCCGCTTACTCTTCTGACTTAATTACAAAACTTTCTTTGGAAGCTTTTCACGTTCACATTTAGATCTTTGGATTGAGGAAAGCTGAGCTCGCTGAGCTCATGTGTATAGTAATAGTAATTTTCATCTAGGGAACATTGTGTCATACATATCTACATATTTTGAAACATAGATACCATTCTAACCCATCCTTGGTCCTGATTTCTTCCAAGCCCCTCTGTGGGCAGGATCTGGTCAGACTGTGGGACTCAGGTTACCCAATGGCTTCCTCCTGTCACTGTGCATCAGCATTCACACGTTATTCATGCAAGCCTGATAGCTCGCACCTGACACTTATCTGTTGATTTTTGACTCAATTATGTTACCAGATTTTGAATTCTCTGCATTTTAAGATTGATTCTTTATTGCCTCCATGTATATCAGTCTGCATATTGTTTTTAATTATTTCATGTAATGAAGTCACACCAGGAAACATTCTTTGAGAAACCATGGCTTGTTTTTTGTCTGATCTCTGCCGTATAGGGAGTAGCATGTGCACAATTGTAATCTTGCTATCTTTATCTGGTACTTGATAAATTAAATATTTTGATAATTTTGTAAAGTTAAAAGGAGTGAACAGCCTTCTTGTAGTAATGCTTTAATATTATGTTTTTAAGTTGAATGTCTCAATCCTTATAACTTATGTGATCATGATACAAAATATATAATCTCTTTAAGATACAAGCAAATATAGATGATAGATACCATAGTTTTCATTTTTGTCCTATAATAAAGAGTGGTTTGCTTCCATATAGAGTTGGTTACTGCTGACTTGTTCCACTGGAGGCTTCTATTAAATTATCTGGCTTCCCATCACTTCAACAGAAGATGGCAAAAACGCCGTTTATTTTTCTGTGATCGTGACCCATTTCCTCTTATAGCAATGGCCTACAGGATCTGCTGGCAAGCAAGAAGGGCAAACCAGAAACTGAAAAGATTGGGTATCTATGGAAGATGAGTGAAAACACAGTATGGGTCTGTCCAATTCCATAGCATATACTATGCTACCATAAAATAGGAATCAATCAATCATTGACTCAGAAAAGGTGGTGACACAAAGATATTATAAGCTCCTCGATTATAATAATGTGTTGCCTCTTTTTGCAGATCCCAAGTTACCTACCTTCATTTACCTATAGCTATAAACGTTGGCAATAAAGAAAGTGACAGAGTCTATTAGGCAGATATTTGAAGATAACGGTAATTTAAGATGGTGCCAGAAAAGAAATAATAATCTTAGAACATTAGCTTCTCTGAATATCTGTTCCACCTCTACTGAAGCCTAATTTGACACAGCAGGAATTAGAGCATAGTAAAGTACATGCAGTCACCTAAGGCCAGCATTTCATCTAGACTTTTATCCTGCAGCTGGCTCAACTGCAGCGTATCTTGGGGATGGTCAACTTAGAGAAAACTAATGGATCCTTACAAGTCGCAAAATCCTTATAAGTCCTAGTCTTACCCAGAGTAGAGATCCTCTGGAGTTGGTAAGAAGGCAGCTTCAATGAGAAAGTTACGAGTCTTTATTCTCTTCTCTTTAGTTCTGAATTTGGCTGCACTGCTTTCTCCCTCTTTTTTTCTTGCTGGAACTTTGGACTTTTACCTTACCTCTCCAATGTCATGGGGCTTTCCAGACTTTCTAGAGACCTGTATTTATACATGTAAAAAGCAACGCAACCTCTGCGAATAAATAGAGTAATATGACAGTCCGTGATTTAGCAACGATAAAAGAAATTGCTGACAGCTGCACTAGTGAGAGGATTTGACATAATTTCTCAAACAGAATCTTCCAATTTTATTATTGGAAGACATATTAGAGACAGCTTGTAATTATTTAAAAAAAAAAAACTTCATTGAATCATTTAAAATAATGACATTCATGTTTGTGGGCCACGTTGAGAAGTATAGGAATGAGAAAACTTGATATAATATTATTTAGGTTCAATTCACTTGAATATTAGACTCTTTTAAAATAGACCTCATTATTTGCGTTTAGTAATGAGGACTGTAAGTGCTCTGAGGGAATGTCCACGTCTTATACATGTTTGAATTATTAGCACTTAACTCAGGTCTTGGCACTTAACATTTAATAATAATGAAGACAGTACCCATTTTGTTTACATAGATTATCCCATTGTATTCTTATCATGAATAGTTTTACCACAATGTTAAAAGAGAGATTTAATAATTTGTTACAATTACAGAGCTACTAAATAAGATTTGGGCCCAAGAAGTCTTCCTGTCAATCACTTCATTAAAATACCTCTGTGTTTGCTTAGTGTGTAGTAACAATGTTTTCTCCTCATCAGTTCCATTCTAGGCTGTATTCTTTACACACACCATTTTAAATATAAAAATACCTCAAGATAAAGGGTGTTTATTATCCCCATTGTCCAAGGGGGAAAAATAATCAGAAAATGGGTAATTAATATGTCTAACTAAAGCCA